ACTCGGAGCAACGCACAAGGAGATTTAGTTACACTTAGCAACCAGGAGCTAGCAAGGTTAGAGAGAACCAATCGACAACAACAAAGGCCGAACAACGCCACAATGGGCGACTACGGCACTCCAGAACAACTCGCTGCTGCTATGCAACAGATGCAGCAACAGATGCTTCAGATGCAGCAGACCATCCAAGCTCAGCAGGGTGCTGCTCAACAGGCTGCTCTCGTGCAGCTGGAACGGCCGGCGCAAACTGCTCCGATCGGGCAGAGAAACCTACCGCGTAACATCCCTGCTACGCGCTCTGCCATTGCTCCACCATCATGTACCAGGCAAGACTTTGAGATCAAACCTGCCATGATCAACCTGGTACAGAGAAAGACGTTCCATGGGTTACCAGCTGAGAAACCTATGGAACACATCGAGGCTTTTGAGGAGATCTGCAGCTTCACTCGTGCAAACGGTGTTCCACCTGACTTCATCAAGTGCATGTTGTTCCCATTTTCTCTAGAAGACAAGGCTTCAAGATGGCTTAAGTCACTTCCTACAGGTTCCCTCACTACTTGGGAACAGGTCAGAGCGGCTTTTCTGGGCCATTTCTACACAAAGGCAAAAACGGCTGCTCTCAGGAACAAGATCACATCCTTCAAGCAGCTCTCTAGTGAGCCATTTAATGAAGCATGGGAACGGTTCAATGACACCCTCAGAGAGTGCCCACATCACGGGTTTGACAATGACCACATCCTAGGAATCTTCTATGATGGTGTGGATTGGGAATACCGAAGTGTTCTGAATTCTGCGAGCAATGGAGACTTCATGACCCAGACCACTGATGGAGCGTTTGAGCTGATTGAGAACATGGCTGCTAGTTCAGCCAATCGTATCCAGGAGAACGATCGCTCCAAGGAAGGGATCAGTGTCGGCACCCACAAGATTGATGAGCTGACAGCTAAGGTTGATCTGCTGCTTAAGAACAACCAAGGGCAAGTCTACATCATGGAGGGAGCTACGGCTGAGCAGGTTCAGAACAGTCACGAGGTTGCTCCCGAGGCTGGAAAGAAAGGGAACAATCAGCAGGAGATCAGCTACATCAATGGACAGGGGTATGCACAGAACAACCAGGCACAAGGTGCGAGATATCAGCAAGGCTTCCCTCAGAATTTTCAGGGTAAAACATTTGTTTTCAGTCAGGCACAGGACCGGTTTGTGGGTCAGAATCAGAATCAGTACCAGCAACAGTCGCCGAGCAACCAACAGGCCGCTCCAGCTACTACCAGTGGTCCGCAGGA